AGTTCTTTACCCAGCAAAGAGTGCATCTGTCCAAGCCATGAGCCACCAGTATCAAATTATCTGAGATAGATAGTGTTATGGCCAACTCAACACTGCTTTGTAAGAATAAGTGGTGACTGCGTAGGACTTCGGCTTTTCTGAGTAACAAACACCTTTTCAGAGCATGAACTGACAGAAAGCATTTAAAGCAAGTTGAATTCCCTAGAAATGTTATTTCCTAATGAAGCGAGTCATCACCTCTTGAAAGTGCATGTCATCTCGGTGTGTCAAGTGTTCTGAATTAACTGGGTAACTGAGGAATATGGCAGAACTTGGGGCAGAACATGAATTTTCCTGTAGTTTTGCATATATTAAATTGACGTATCAACAATTTTGTGTTAAATACAAGGCGAAATATTGAATCTGGGTATGATGTTAATGAAGAGCTCAACTGACAAGTCAATGTATTTTGTCAGCTGAAGTGAAAAGGCAGCCCACAAAGACTAACCATTACCTCATGATGATAAATTGCAGTGATTGATACTAAAACTTTGACTTCACAGTAAACTTAAACAATAACACCATGAGAGTTTGACAACGTATTTGGAAGAATGCAGAGTAACTTCATATGTGAAGTCGCTACATAAACCTCTGAAAGCAGCTACTCTTCAGACTTTTTAAACATACTTCTCATAGTACTTATTAGACCTATTATCTTTACAGGAAAAATATACCCACAGAACCTGTAAGCTACTTCTGATGATGACTGAAGTTCCTTCTGTTGAACTGCTCACTGTATAGACTTGCTAGCATTAAAGCTCACACTATGTGTGATTTTAAAGTTTCTCCTGTTGTCCTCCGCTGAAGCAGAAATGAACCCTCTTGGAGTCTGATTGTGCTATTCCAAAAATGGCTCTTCTCTTATTAAAAACAGAAGTTTTCATTTTCTCTTGAGGCCTGATATTTATGATCAAGCATTTCATGCCTACTTCTTTTGCCCTAATTCTGGTCATTTGCAACAATGCTGGTGTTAAGTGACTATGAAACCCTAGTCTCTAAAGTAATCAGATTTTCAGGCCCTGTGCCCTATGTCACATGGAATCATTTATTGCAGTACAATAAGAAATAAGGCCACTATGCAGAACAGTATTTCTGGGGGGAGAAATGTTGCTCATTACTGAGTAACAGTATACCCAACTGATTATAGGTTGTAAATTGTGCCTTAGGAATCGATGGATTTTTGCGTTTAGAATAAGCAGAAGAGCAAGAGTGACCAAAGTATGAACACAGAGAGAAAATCTGCAGGGGTATCGAGGTCCCACTCAAGCACCTGGTCACATGGAAGTGTTAACTTCCCAGATCTGGCTGATACGGGGCAGCTGAACTGGTCTTGGCAGCCGGGATGAGCTGGGCTATGAGGAACTAGCAAGGCTCCGTCACTGGCTAATGAGCCTGGTAAACTGCTCGGTCCCTTCTTCCCACATAAAAACCTCACAGCTCTGCTATCAGCCTCAGCATCTCCCTGTGCCTGACATCTGTTGTGACCTTTGCATACAAATAAGAGAGGTTCAACAGCAGATGGTTAAACTGAAACATGTAAAAATTGTGGACTAGTTGGATTGTCGGAGTTTATTAAGTCTTAGAATTGCAGAGCTTACCTTAAGTCACTTCCTTTCGTTTTGCAGGAGTTGTAGAGAAAAAAGAAAAGGTCCAAGCCCCTCAATTTTCCAAATGTAGTAAAGAGTGTTTGGATACACACTTTAATATATTTTCTGTGGCATTTTTGTAAAATACAGATATATAACTATAGATATAATGCATATATAGCATTTACTATGTTGATAAAAAGCTAGTCTTTTGACAATGACACACCAGTAAGTATTTACAATATGATTCAAATTTTAAGGAACAAATGTTTCAAACAATATTGTGTGGTTATATGATAACAATAATTTGAGGAAAAAATAAGAGACCAGTTCTGAAAAATTCCCAGACGACAAAGTACATACTCTTGCCAGGAGCGCCTCTGTGAACAGCCATGCACAACCCTTTTTTCTCCTCCTGGTAGGAACATGCATGATTTAGCTCTTCCACATTTCCACCTAGTCACAGCCCTTAAGATTACATGGATAATTATCTTTCTAATTTTTTAAGTACAGATTAACTGTACTGTTCTTCCCATTTAAATATTTGTCCAACTGCAACATTTCAAAGTTTTGGCTAGAGCAGGAATTACTATACACAAATTTAAACCAACAGAGCTATGACAACATAATTGAAAATTTGCCCATCTTCTACACGTTTTAGAACCATTTCACAAATTGTTCACAAAGTGTGAGGTTTCTGAGCACTGTTTTTAGCATTGCAGGTCTTTGCTAGGAGGTCTGCCTTAAAGGACACTGCAATGCCAAAACTAGCGACAGACATGAACTACACAAATGCTCTTTCTTATCCTCACATAATGAACGCTACCTAGCCACTCATCTGTAACGTACTGTCCACAGTACAGCAGATGTAAAGACTATCTTCTTGACTGTAATGTCACCACTTACAGTGAGGCAAAAAAGTGCTATTACTGCATTTTACAGAAGAAAAAAAATTAGATGTAGAAAGGCTGAGTGAATTGCCCAAGGTTACTTGGGAAGTTTGTGACAGCAAAGAAGCAAACCCACATCTCCTCAACTGCAGGCTCATCCTCTTGTCTTTCCAGCTTTGAATGAGAAGTTTCTATGTGTGTTCTTTAACATAAACAAATATGTAACTAATAGAAATAAAGCCTTCTCCAGGCACAGGCTTGAAGGCTGCTGTAGTTCTATTCTCAAATAATGTGAAGAGATAGTGAGAGGGCCATTTCTGCATGCATCATCTCCCAACCACTGAAGAAATACTAGCTGCAATGAGTCTTTCTTGAAGAGGGAGCAGTCAAGCCCACTGTTTGCCAGAAAAGGCATAGGAACTCTTGAGAAACACAACAATCCACCTTTAACGAAAAATCTAACAGAGAAAAACGTAAAATCTGGAAGGCCTTATTCTCCTTCAATGCTCACTGGGGAAGCATTTTCAACCACGTTTGTACCCACTTTATAATGCCTTTACATCACCTCCACAATATAAAGGAGGCTTAGTGTGTTGTTGAAGATGACCTGTTATATCAAGCATTAAAATCTGTTCCACAGCCTCCATGGTTCAGCTCTGACAGGCGAGCAGCTGAGGGGCAGCTTTCGCAGCAGGACTGATGCGCACTGGGGCTGTGCAGGTGCAGATGAGGGCAGAAGTTTTGCCATGACAAGTGTTTCCCCATGTCCTTGGCACTCTGGAGAAGCCTGGTCAGGAGTAGGCTGTGATTTGCATTCTTACAAGCACCCGTTAAATCCAGAGCTGGGAAGGAAGGGAACCTCTCCAATTCTAGGGCAAAAACCGACTGACAAACAGAGCAGCAGTAACCTCATGACAGAAAGGAATAAGAGGAAGACAGATGGCTCCCTGGAGGGAGGGACATAGGCTGCAGGTGTCATGCTGGAGCTTTCAAAGTAAACTATTAAAGGAATTTTGCCTATTGTAATCCTGGTCCCAATTTGGCCATGTTACAGGGAGGCAGCTACAACAAAGTTCTGCTTCCAGCAACACTTGCAGACAAACTGGGTCATCTGCCTAACTGATATAGGCGATGTATTTATGAGATACTGAGGATGGAGGACATTTTGTCCTTATTGGAAAAAAACCAAACCAAAACACAACACACACACAAAAGGGTGAAACCAATAATGGAATTTCTCATCTTGATGACTTTTTTTTTCCTAAATCAAACCTGCATTTTCCTTTAAAAAAATAAAAATACAAAAACAAAGATACATTAGAATATCCTACTGTCCAGTAAATGTCTTATAGGCAATATTTATGGAGGCAAAAAAAGCATCAAGCCCTTCCTTTGACAAAAATGAAGCACCCCAAAGTTCC